GCAAAATTTCATTGAAATTGGTTCAGGGGTTTTGGAGAAGAAGATTTTTGAAATTTTAGTCAATTTGACCCTTTTTGGCCCCGCCCCTCAGGCCCCTGGGGGCTTAGGACTAAACTGGCAACTATTTTTGTTGACCTTTGTCCATGGAAGGTCCCTGCAAAATTTCATTGAAATTGGTTCAGGAGTTTTGGAGAAGAAGTCGAAAATGTAAATTGTTTACGGACGCACGACGGACGACGACGGACAAAAGGCGATCGCAATAGGTCACTTGAGACTTTGTCTCAGGTGACCTAAAAACTAAATGAAAATTTGGGCTTACTACATAAGTAAGCCATCTCTCTTCCTCCCCTACCTACCCTTGCTCCTCTATGTGTCATTTAAGAAATGCTGACCATGTGTATTATAACATTGAAATTATGGTGCTGAAAAATATCGACCGTATTTGACCTTACAACAACTTGGGACTTTTGGGTGATCTGAGCGTTACATGACAAGCTATAGTATAATCCATCCACAATATCCAGGGGTTACGCTCACTTTCGCTTCCTACACCCCTGGAATATGTCATAGCAGAAATGAAGGCACGCGGCTAGCTATTTGAGTGGTGTCCGGTAAAAAAACCCTGACCAATCACTAGGCTGATACTTGTCCTTTGAAGATTAAAAAGGAGCGACGCCCGACTTCAAAGCCTGTCATTTTTTACCGTTACATGACCGCGAGATTCTTTTGATGTACATCAAAGGACCAAACTAGTCTTCTCGTCTCATCCACAAGGTGCTGCACATTGAGCCTTCGATTTTGCTATGACATATTCCAGCGGTGTAGAGAGCGAAAGTAGGCGTTACGTAACCCCTGGATATTGAGGATGTAGTATGGTCATGATACACACATTTACCAATATGCATTTCAAAAAAATTGAAAAGCTGTGTCAATCAGAAGTTTCTGTCTGAACAAGCATTTATTTGACATTTGACTGACCTCTAGGGCACAGACTCGCCAACTGGACAGTGTTTCATGACATGATATACCCATACATATGTATGTATGAAGTTTCAAAATATAATGTTAGGAGAGTCGATTTCATCAAAGGCAAAATAAAAAAAAAGATTGCTAGATGTCATTTAATTCACCAGCCATGGGGCTTGGGGTGAATGAGTTTGCACTCAATGGCAGATTCTTAGATCTATCTACACCAATCATAACGGACAGTAGGACAAAGAAAGATATTTTGATTATCATACCTACAACACTTACCGGGGGTGACTGCACCCTTGCTTCCAGGATATTCTCCAGTGTAAAGTCAACAGACCTACAACACTTACCAGGGTGTCTGCACCCTCCCTTCCAGGATATTCTCTAGTGTAAAGTCAACAGACCTGCACTTTCCCTTCCAGGATAATCTCAATTGTAAAGTCAACAGACCTACACATGATTTCCAGTGTTTCATGTTCAGAACATAATAATGAACTGTCACATTGGACCTTAAATTCAAGATATCTAAGTCTCTATGTTACTTATCATTAATTGTAAATTGCTTAAAAATTTCCTTTTTTAAACATTCAGTAATAGATTGAAGATAAAACAGTAAATCAAAATGACAAAACTTTCATTGTGTCCCCTAGTGTAAAGTCACAGACCAACAACACTTACTAAAGTCAACAGACCTACAACACTTTAATATGTTCCTGCACTCTCCCTATCAGGATATTCTCGATTGTAAAGTCAACAGACCTACAACATTTACCAGTGGAACCTGCACTCTTCCTTTCAGGATATTCTTGATTGTAAAGTCAACAGACCTACAACACTTTAATACGTTCCTGCACTCTCCCTATCAGGTTATTCTCGATTGTAAAGTCAACAGACCTACAACACTTACCAGGGGAGCCTGCACTCTCTCTATCAGGTTATTCTCGATTGTAAAGTCAACAGACCTACAACATTTACCAGGGGAGCCTGCACTCTCCCTATCAGGTTATTCTCGATTGTAAAGTCAACAGACCTACAACACTTACCGGGGAGCCTGCACTCTTCCTTTCAGGATATTCTCGATTGTAAAATTAACAGACCTACAACACTTACCAGGGGGGTGCCTGCACTCTCCCTATCAGGATATTCTCGATTGTAAATTCAACACTTACCAGGGGTGCCTGCACTCTCCCTATCAGGATATTCTCGATTGTTAATTCAACACTTACCAGGGGTGCCTGCACTCTCCCTATCAGGATATTCTCTATTGTAAAGTCAACACTTACCAGTGGTGCCTGCACTCTCCCTTCCAGGATATTTTCTATTGTAAAGTCAACGGAGCGTGTCTGTCTCAAGTCATCCATGATGACATTTAGAGGAATATGAGGGAACACTGTCTCCACCTGTCTTGCCTAAAATTCAGATAAGATTTCTTTTAATTATTCATGTTAATGTAAAAGTCAACAGGAACATGATTAAACTTGGAGATGGTGCACAGTTTCCAGTGTTTCATGTTCAGAACACAGTAATGAACTGTCTCATTGGACCTTAAATTCAAGATATCTAAGTCTCTATGTTACTAAAGATTAACTGGTTATTGCTTAATAATTTCCTTTTTGAAGCATACCATATAAGATTGAAGATAAAACAGTAAATCCAAATGACAAAACTTGTGTTCGCTGGGTAACCACTACCTGATGTTCATAATTTAAATATTAAGTTGACATATTTTACTAAACATAAAGAAACAATTGAGACAGCATTCAGTAGATGTTTGAAGGATACATGTTTCAAAATAATTACTGCAAGGAGAACAGAATATCAGTCTATGATTTACAAACTCAGGAAAATACAGCATTTATGATATTTTACTTCTGTGTGGTTGTGTGAAATTACTGGAGGTACCGCAGCTCTTGTTTATAAATGTTGTTAAGCTTATAAATGTTGTTAAGCTTATAAATGTTGTTGAGCAATGATAAATGATAGATCTTTTTACATGCCTTATCGGTCTAAAAGTGGAAAATGGCAAATGGGGCTATGATACAATAATGTTTAATTTTGTAAACAGTGTGGATCACTGACCATGCTGTCCAGCTGAGAGGTCTGTATGGGCGGTTGCTGCTGACCCTGGGGCAGCAGCTGTGTATGGGTCACCTCGACCGAGAAACTAGGGAACCAGCTCACATATCTTGATCCTGTCAAAAAAACAGAATTATAATTTAGGCAAAGATTCAGAAAAACTAACCAGTGTTGAGAATGAATTATATTTTAGCCAAGGGTTTCACATTCTTGCAACAGCTAAGATCATATGAAGATGGGTTAAGAATGAGAACAAATATAGTTTGCAAGTACCATCAAAGTTACAGAGAAGGAAAATGGATATTTGTCAGTATTATCAAGCCAAAGGGATAAGAAAATAATATTTTTAAGCACCATCAAAGTGGAAGAAATGGTTGGTTAAGGCACGGTTGATTGGCTGTCCTGGAGGTGGTGTGTTGATGGGGGCATCACCCCGCGCATCAGGAACATGTTCCCGTGGCGGTTCCTCCGGACTATCATTAAGTGTTGTTCTACAGGTTGGACAGGATGTGTCTTGTTCCAGCCATGAAAGGAGGCAACCACTGTCACAGCAAATGGAAATAATCATATTTTGTTGTATTTATTGAAGAAAACTGCATCGCACATAATGATATAAAGCAACCAAAATATTTTTACACAAATATATACTATTAAGGAAACATATAAGTATAGTATAGCTAAAAATCAAACTTCCTTAGAGAGTGGGATGTTCCAATTAAATATTTTTGTTAAATTGTATTAGTACAGTGTACTTGTAAATATCAGGGTTAATACAGGTGTACCACATACATAACCCAACTGAGGATATCAAAAACTTTCAAAAATATTGTTACAAGTTAAAATGCATTTACAAAATATCAATAGTTCATCTACAATGGTAAGGAATCATTAAAATGCTGCAAAAATCGCTTATTAGACCACAATGGAACATGACTACAACATCAAGTGCTACATGTTTATCAAGATTTAAAGAGTTATAATATTCAGTCCCAGTTACATGGTGTCTTTGTAGTACAAATATTTTAATAGGTCATACTTGTGGAAGAGATGGTCACATGGTAGTTTGCGAGCAGTTTCCATTGGCTCCCAGCATATGGCACAGTTGTCATTGTTATCTTTTAAATCATCAGTAGTAGCCATTGAGAATCTGCAATAAACATACATCTTTCATACAAACTTCTTACAGTACAGACGTTTTGTCTGGTCAAAATCAATGAGCACAGCCATTGTTCAGGGAAGTGCTAGATTTGTCATTCAGTAGATGAACAGACATACCTGATATGGATACAATTAAATTATTTTAACAACAGGAACACCATCGAACAAACTGATCTCTTACTACAATAATGTATAAAGTATCTGCGATTGAAATTTCCAAAAGAATATCTTTAAATGAATGTACAGTAAACTCTAATAAATTACATAGCTCATTGAAACAAATTTTATAAATAGGCAAAAATGGAAATAGGATTAGCCGGTATCTTGGATATTATTTACATGCAAACCTAATACTTTTTACCTGGCATACCGTACTCTAAAACCAGTGAAGACAACCAGTAATTTTCCAAATTTCTTTCTCCAGAGTGTTTTGCAACTATGCTAACTTGATCAACACATTTCAAAGGCATTTTCTGTCAAGAAATATGGCTGCTAGAGTAATTACAAGAGGCCCAGAGGGCCTGCATCACTCACCTGGATACCTAAGTAATAATGGCAAACTATTCTCCAAATGAGATCAAGGGAATATGCCAGACCACAAGGCCAATCCTTGTAGCATAGCTATATTAGATTTTTCATGCCCAGCAATTTTATGTATGGTTATGGGGTGGGGATCTCAACTGTTTCCAAGCTTTGACTCAGAAACTAGGTCCCTTGAGTTGTGGCCAGACCCCAGGATCGATTCTAATATCGTGACTGCATTTGTCTCTTTTTGCCAAGCATTTGTATATATAGTTTTGGGGTGGGGATCTCAACCGTTTCAAAGTTATGACCCAGGGGCCAAGTCTGCAAGGGTGGGGCAGACCCTGGGATCAATTCTAATATCATGACTGCATTCGTCTATTTATGCCCAACAATTGTATATATAATTTTGGGTTGGGATTATTAACCATTTCAAAGTTATGACCCAGGGGCCAAGTCTGCAAGGGTGGGGCAGACCCTGGGATCAATTCTAATATCATGACTGCATTCGTCTCTTTATGCCCAGCATTTGTATATATAGTTTTGGGGTGGGGATCTCAATTGTTTTAAAGTTATGGCCCAGGGACTATGTTTCCAAGGGTGGGGCCAGACCCTAGGGACATCCTGGAAGCAGATGTGCATTCTTCTCTTTATACTCAGCCATTGTATATATGGTTATATGGTGGGGATCTTAACCATTTCCAAGTAATACATTTTATTGGCCCCACCCCTTAGCCCGGGGGGTCAGCCCAACCGTTTGTACAATTTTGAATCGCCACCACCTAGAGATGCTTCCAGTCAAATATGTTTTATATCCACTTCTTAGTTCCAGAGAAGAAGTCACTTAAAGCAGTATAGCCCAATACCCTTTTTGGCCCTGCCCCTCAGCCCCCTTGGAGGTCAGTCCCACCATTTGTACAATTTTAAATCCCTGCCTCCCAGGAATGCTTTTGATCAAATATGAGTGATATCCAGTGCACAGTTCTAAAGAAGAAGTCGTTTGTAGCTCTAGCCTAATTGCCCCCTTTTGGCCCCGCCCCTCAGCCCCCTGGGGAGTCAGCCCCACCACTTGTAGAATTTTTTATCACCACCACCTAGGGATGCTTCCAGTCAAATATGGTTTATATCCACTTCTTAGTTCCAGAGAAGAAGTCGCTTAAAGCAATATGGGCAAATTGACCCCTTTTGGCCCCGCCCCTCAGCCCCCTTGGAGGTCAGTCCCACCATTTGTACAATTTTGAATCCCCACCACCTAGGGATGCTTCCAGTCAAATTTAGTTTAATTCCAACCAGTGGTTAAGAAGAAGTAATCGTCTAAAGAAATTGTTGACGTACGGACGACGGACGCCACGGTATGGCATAAGCTCACCTTGGTCCTTCGGACCAGGTTAGCTAACAAGAAGTAAGGCAAGGAATGGACACACAGCTGACAGCCATTGAATGCTTTTATGGGTGGAGGGAGGAGTCTGGTTAAGATACGTAGTGAAGACCAGAAAAAGTAGGTGGATCACAAGTCACTATCACTAGTTGATGGTATTTTACAAAATCTTCCAAATGAATTTGTTGTGTTTAGTTACCTAGCCTCCATATTTTTCACAACTTTTCTGTAATTTTTGTGTCTTCTGACTCTGCGCTGGAATTCGTAGAAAAGGTAACGAAGCTGCATACAGATCACAAGACTTGCCATGCTGAGGAAGAAATTACCCCACAGCTGGAAAATAAAAAACAACTCTATTACAATCTTTCTGTCCTGATATTAACAAAGACCTTAACAAATTATATGAAATACAATGTTGAGCTCGCTTCATAGATGATTATTGTTTTTATATAGTTTAAAGCTAACCATATTGATAATATATTACCAGGAGAGTAAACATTTTATGATGAATAAACATTGTTTACATTTATTATCAAACTATGAGGCTGAGATAGCACAAAATATAATCCACGAACATACCAGCATGTGTAGGTGGTGTGCGAAATCCACGGAGAGGACAGACAGTTCAAACACAAGCTCTGCATAGTAGATATAGACTGTTCTGTTCTCCCACACTCCCTCCATATTCATGTCCACCAGGTGTATCACATACCTGAAATACAACACATCTAAATATAGTAACACTACCTGTAAATATTTATGTACCAGTACATCAGGTATACTATGCATCAAATAAGATATTCACCTCCAAACCAAATCTTCCATTGATCCTTAAAGATGATGAAACAATATTTGAAGCAACAGCATTGAAAAGAAGACATTGCTTTATTGTGGATAAGATATGTGGATGACTTACCGCAGAATAACATAGAGGGTCCGAAAGCCTAGGATCAAGCACTACAATATAATAATAATTCAAAATCTTTATCTTATCATTGTACAAGTTTTATAAATCTAATACAAATCTCAGTGTCAGGTATAAGATTATTATTTTAATACATACTGATCAAAAGTACCAGTACCATAAAAGGCCTGTCAGATAATCAATTCCATTGTCTTTACCACGTCAGTAGATTTTAAATCTTAACGATGCTTAAGATGAAACTACAGTAAAAAGTATTGTGGAATATTCAAATTATGAGATAAGAATTGCAAAACCAGTGCACACAGCAGGCTTACAGATGTCTTTATTATGTATAGAAGTCTTACCTCTGCTGCCATGAAAGCTAGGACTGTAAGCCCAGCATACATGCCTACATAGATACATATCACCAGCAGGGTGGCACTACACAATAATACCACACTCAGGAGGGAGATCAACTTCAAGTGGAACCACTTAGGTGTCGTCGGTGAGAAAGACACCTACAAAATTATTTACAAAAATGACTTAAACATACTTAATCCTGAACTGGGTAAATAAATAATTGTTATATCTAAATTTATATTTTAGATAATGTGTCTTCTGCAGGTAATGCAATGAAGAAGGAACATGAGGTACATGTATTCAATTTCCAATTTACTGCATGTACTGATATCTATTAACTAAGTTTATCTTTCAAATTTTCGAATATAAAACTGATGTAAATAAGTCTTCTTGCCAAACTTCATAATTCACAACTGATGTAGCTTGATCATCTACAAAACCATCACACTTAAACATTGGCTATTTAAAAGCAATGCTATATCAAAAGGTTGCCTTTATAAAGCCAAAATATACAATGAACTTAGCAGAATGTGACATACATATTCAAAGCGGTCTTTGGACAGCTGGATGAGGAGGTGAAAGAAGCCGAGGATGGTGAACCAAGCCACCCAGTTTACCACCTCATCCATCGTCTGCACGTTCATCACTCCGAAAATGAAGATGAATTTGTAGAACAGGAAATTCCATATTCGATCTTTCAAATGCTGCAAAAGAAAACAAAAGGTTGTTGAAATATGTAACATAAAACAGGTGAGACTTTTGTGGACTATAATGTACATAACAAGCAAATTTGTATTACATAGCATGAATTGGATGCTTCAAATAACAAGAGGCCCATGGGCCTTAACGGTCACCTGATATATTTATACAGAGAGTTGATTTTGTTTTTAACATGAACAGAAATATTATTCAAAGTGACAAAAAACAATAAAACAACCTTATTCAATATCTAGCATACAGATTTCAGACTTAAAAGTATTTGAAACTAGCACCTCTGATTCTAAACAAGGAAAATGAAGAAATTTTAGCACACTGACCCCTTTGGGCCCCACCCTACAGCCCTTGGGGGTAGGGCTGGCTCAAAATTTTCAGTATCAAACTGTCAACTCAAGGTTATAATTCCAATCAAGTTATTAACATGTAATATTCAAAGTATCATTTGCCATTATAAACCATAATAAATTTTGCCCCCCCCCTCCTTCCCCAGAGGGTAAACGTTAGACCATAGGGTCATAAACCTTAAGACCCTTCCATCTATGAGGAGTATTTGATACTACCATACCATATCTGGGTCTTGAGAAGAAGATTTTTGAAATTTCAGTCAATTCAACCCTTTTTGGCCCCCACCCATCAGCCCCAGTCAGGGCTGATATGTGCTTATTATCAAACTGCTACCTAATACTGATAATGCTAACCCAAATTGAATTACTTCCAATGGAAATTAAACAAATGTTGGTCCAAAATGTGATTTCCCTATATAAAATATAGTAAAGTTTACCCCCTCCCCAGGGGGAAACGTGAGACCCCAGGGTCAAGAAATTCACAATTTTGGTAAAGCACATAAAGACCCTTCCATCTATGAAGAGTATTTGATTCTACCATATCTGGGTATTGAGAAGATTTTTGAAATTTTGGTCAATTTGACCCTTTTTGGCCCCGCCCCTCAGGCCCCTGGGGGCTTGGGACTAAACCGGCCCCTATTTTTGTTGACCTTTGTCCATGGAAGGTTCCTGCAAAATTTCATTGAAATTGGTTCAGGGGTTTTGGAGAAGAAGTCGAAAATGTAAATTGTTTACGGACGCACGACGGACAAAAGGTGATCGCAATAGGTCACTTGAGACTTTGTCTCAGGTGACCTAAAAAGCTATATCACTAGCTATTCAAACCTACCTAACTTTGTTACTGTTTGTTTGATTCAAGTTGAATATCATTCTATTCTAAGCACAATCATACAAAGGTTTTCATGTCTGATAGCAATCAGATTGCAAATGACTCAATGTGTGTAATACAGATACATGTGTGTACACAAATATTACTTCTAGCTTGTAATTGTAGAACTATAAGTACAATGCACTCCTCTTTATGCTGTGTGTCATCTGTTAGAAGGAAGTCTGACTTTAATAACTACACATATTACACATTTCCAGTCATAACATAACGTAACTTTATAGGTCGATGAAGGTTCCTCGTCAACATATGAAACAAGGATACATCGTAGTGGACAGATGTGTGGCAGAGTTTTTGTGAAAACAGTGTTCAGTTGTGCAAGGTCATTGTAGATAACATGTACATGAGCCTATATACTTAACAGGTAGGTTCCATATAATTGGTAGGCGCCAACATGGAAATGCTATAAAAGACAGGCTGATTGTTATGAAATTTTACACAGCTCTGTCAAAATATTGAACCCTACTAATTACCCCACTCTATGTACATTAATTAACAGTACACAAAATCTATACAGAAGACAAGGAAACATTTGTGAAGTGTTGTCAAAGAGGCTTGCGATGACCATAAGCAGACTGTTTCTGTGCATTGAAGGGCAACTTTACTCTATAGCTAGTCACACATTACTCACCTGCCTCTCACTGACTCTGAGGTCACCAAATACTTGTTTCTGAATCACTTTCCCCAGAAAAATCAAACAGCAATAGGCAGTGTTGACCAGTGTCTGAAAGTAAGATCACAATGGTGAGCTGCTGATTTGTACACTTGTCTTAATTACATATATATATGTCTTAATTACGTATACCCTATCAATACTCGAGGTGTTTTGGTTCCTAGCAGATGGTAGTTATATGGTACTCAAGAATAGAATGATTCAGTACTTTTTTATAAAGACAAAAAAATACATGCATGCTGAAAAATCTTATAATATAAAATCATTAAATATATTATTATATATATATCAGCAACACATATATACACAGACACATGCAATAAAGTAAACAAAATAATAATGTTAGTCAAGTGACAAAAAAAGTTGAAAAAAAATCATGAAAGTACCGACAAGTATGAGTACTGAAACATATGCACCCCCTCTTGCCAAGCCAAAACAATCCTTAAAAAATTGGTTGGTCACAAGCACCACCATAACTAGAGCAGGGAAAATGAAATGGGGCCAGCTACAGATTTAAACATGTACACACAGGGCATACAAATCCTGTATATCTGGACATAACGTTCTAACCATTTAGACTACCTGGCTACTGGTCATCACCCAGCAAAGTCTCCCTCCATAAATGTATTGAAAGCTGGTGTGAAATATGGGAAATGCTTTATCAGTGGCAGATCCAGAGACCTATCGGGGTGTTCCATGTGGGGAAAAATTGAGGAAAATGGTGAAAATACATGATTTTTAAGGAAAATTCTCAGGCCAGGGGGGTTTCCTGAAGCCCCAAAAACCTGTCTGGGTTCGCCACTGGTTATATTAATGCCCATTGCTAAAATAAAATGCTTACTTCTATCTACCAATAAATGCCGAACTTAAAACGTCAATTTCTATCACATGTATCATGTATCAATGCATGGTTGAGAGAAATACATATCATACACTGATTAGAAAGCAATGAAATATGTTCCCGAAACTGTTGAATGTAAACAGGAGAATTTCAATGGTCGCAAATTGTATTAATTTACGCATTTGGCAGTTACTGAATTAGGATTTTGCATTTGAATCTTGAAGGAAAGGGAGAATGATGCTCCTTGGCCCATCTTTTTAAATATTTTTTACAACAATCTATATATTTAATCATTGTACATGGCTACCGGAAATAGAAGACCGATATAGGCATATAGCCTGTTGTCTGATTCTTTTGTCAATACTGTTCTAACATCTTCTTTAATTTTAACTTATATGTTTTTATTATATATGTATTGTCAATAAAATACTTTTGAAGTGAATTGAATTTCTTTTTTTCATGAAACGGCTCAAAGAAATTAATTCATTACTTTATACTATAAGTAAAATATATATATCTCAGTCTCAGCCATAGAATTCATGTGATATTCAATATGACCCAGAGCTTTATATATGTGTATAAAAAGTAATCCGTTCCATACAATTTTTTTCCCTGATACTCAGGGCTCACGCTGTCGGTAGCCAAAGTAGCCATTGGCTACTTTTATTTTTTATTGGTTACTAAAAATTCGATGTGGCTACTAAATTGACTACTAAGTTTTTAAAAATGGGGAAACTCTGTATCTTTGTCGCAGAAAACGATCCTTCTACTCGAGCTCACGTGTGTATTGTGGCTGACACTGATTGCGTAAACATAATCAGGGCCGTCACAGATCAGCGCGCGCTGTACGACTGCGAGTTAGTTAATGCTTTTGTCTAAGTTGTAAAGTAGATTATCAAGCTTCAGATGGCAAGAGGTGTTATAATTCTTGTACAATAATTATGGACAGTGGGGTCAAGTTAATTGGATGACCCTTTGATGTTGAGAAAACAGTCCGATATATAGTCACACTTAGGTGGTCTCGCACACGTACATTTGATGACGCCGTAAGCCGATCTGATAAACTCGTTCAAACACCGCATCCAACAAATTTACGGGTTCAGTATATCTAAATTAGTGTACATGGTATTCATTTACCTTTTCCAGTACCGTAGTAAGCACAAAAACGTCCGATATGCTTGATTAGAAAGTATAAGTAACGCCTTGAAACACCATGTCGAAGTGCTGATTTTTGGCCTTTCAGATAACCTCAAACGATAGGCCCTATATCGTATCTGACTGTGTACTTTTGTGGTTAGACGTTTTAGAATTTCAAGTGATCGATAAAAGTTATTTAGCATCGCCGTTATGCAGTTTTTAGAACAGCAAACCGTTCAGAATTACTTTGACGGTCGCTTGTAATAGGTGCCAATTGACGACACGTGCACGGGAATGGCCATGTTGCGCGACGTGATGTGCTCCCGATTTATTTCGAAGGGTTGATCAATATCGTTATAAATTCGTCCTTTTTCTTTCAAATGTGTTCTACTGCCATTTACATTTGAAATGTGTGATCTTTTTAATTATATTTATATTTTTTTTTTTACATAAAACATGAATTACGGTGAATGTAAACAAAGGAAAAATAATTATCAATATTGCATCACTGAGGCTACTTTTGATTTGGATTTTAATAGTTTTATTTTTTGATTGAAGGCACGGAATGGCGAATATCTTATTTGAACTTTTCAAGCTAGATTTTTTCACAATTCCTGTGTCAAGAAAAAGATATAAAGGCTGATTTTTCTCTCTTTTAAAAAAGTAAATAAAAAAGTTCAGGTGGAAATTTTCAGCATTTTAATTTAAGTTATATTTTCTTAAAATAACAGCCATGTAATCTGAAAAAGGATTAAAAAAATATCACATTATGGATTAAATTATAAACATGATGTATAACATTTTTTTTAATTTAATAGAGTACTCCTTAATTTAACATCATATTGAATAGGATTGCACTTCAAAAAATATTAAATATTTAATGATTTTATGGAGGGGTTGGGGGCCGAGAAAGTATGGCCACTGTTTAATAAAAAAAATTGGCTACTGAAATTCAAACATGGCTACTTTTTTGGCTACTGATTTTTTAGGTCTGGGGTGAGCCCTGATACTGATTAATTTACTTCTACAGAAGTACTGAGTACTTTATTTCTAGTACTGTGTATGTGTATGGTTTAATATAGTATTTACCCAAATACACCACCCTTCTGTGGTGAGGACATGGAAAATATTCCAGCCAAGATTGTCATATGGTAGGGTAAAGTTCATGAACTCCTCAACAGGCTCAATACTCGACGCATCTTCTCTTTTGTTTAGGATGGACCCCACGTCACGCGGGATACTTGCAGGTGCTGGCAAATCAACAGTCACACTTTTGGAAATTTCCTCAACACTGACAACAACTTGATACGCGTAAAACACCGAACATGACAACAGAATTGCCGATATCGCCGAATATGTCTGAAGACTTGGCAATGGAAGCCGCTCAAGATACACCACTGGCATCTTATTACGTTATTTATGGCTTCCTTTTCATTAGATTACTATGTGAATCTTGTCAAACAAGTACGGAGAGGCTGCTTCCAAGCGGCTTCGACATCATTTTGGTTCCAGATAAAGCTACTTTTTATTTTCGTATTTTTGTTGAAGGGTGATGAAATTATTGTTCATTACTGTTTTTGATATAAGCACAATCAGAGTCATTTATCGCACCTTTTGAATCATAGTAACATTATTTCACAGAAAAGCATAAACATCGAAAGTAAATATATATTTGATATTGCCACAGTTTCGAATTATAAGAAAAATAACGACACGGATTGCATCCCTAATCTCACAAAATCGGAAGCGAAGAATCGTCTATTTTTTTTTTGCTCTCTGTTAATTAAACTTTCTATATATTATGTTGACACTATTGGGATCCATTACAAATTTCAAAACGAAGACCTCTTTGTGTAAAAAAAATTAAGGATCGAGCGTGCACAAATTAAATTCGTGCTGGCTCAGCTAAAACTGGGGCGTGGCAGGTCGAAGTTGAAGGTACAATTCCGTGCACAACAATCTGTAAACAAAACATTACACAAGAAGCACACCGGTTAGGCCGCACTGGTTACTAACATCACGGAATTAGAGTATTATCTAAGTCCGTGCTAACATCGATAGTTTTTTTTCTTGCTTACCGAGTTAGTTATACAAATGGAAAAGGTTATCATTGGTGAGTTATTTTTAAAAAGTGACAAATTTAACACAAATCAATGCAATTCGTAAGTATTTCTATCGGTCGACAAAGTGTTAAAATGAGGTTTGAAACGATTTTTGCGCCCCAACACTGGTTTGAATTAATTAGAGGTCTAGGCAATGACATCTGTAAATTATCCTGTAGTCTTATTTTTGTTTACAAATGAATGACCTTGACCCACTACAAGGTTTGAAACAACTTCTTCTGCATAACCGAACGGCCTAGGGTCAACAGATTTTGCCAGTGACATGTTGAAGAGGAGCATTTCATTTTGCAAAATTTAAATTTGGCTGGTTTTTGAATAACCATATCCTTTAGTAACACTGGTGTGATATACAAGTGTTCATTACATATCTGTAAGTTTATGCTTTAGATTACAACATTTTAAATACCCTATATGACTGTGATATTACCATAAACTACATTGTTATTTAGACTGTGAAATGATTCTTAATTTATTCACTTTTAACATGTATGTATGTATATATTGATGTGATACAATTTTGTCAGTTGTTCTTATTATCATTATTTGCATTTGTTATACATGTACAGTTGGTTGTAAAAGCCATAAAGACTTGTGTTGAAATGTTTATAAATGTACCAACTATAAATAAAAATTACTTGAACTTGAACTTATCACAGAGACGTCTAAAGACAGTCATGATTAAGTAGCCATGCAGAAGCATGCTTGAGTATAGGGGCTGATATATTAAGTTTATTAAAATGATTTTCATTTTTCATTTCAAATCAATTTTATTGTATTCAAAAAAACACAATTGGATTAGGCACAGGCATTGCCTATAAAAGCCCTTTCCAGAGAAAATACACACATTTCATACATTCATAAATACATATATATATATAGAGAGAGAGTATTATAGAGAAGATGTAGTATATTTTCGAATTAATAGGAGAATACTAGAACCATTTAATACATGTTCACAGAAAATAATACATGTAACTAGAATATCATAGATTTTACCATTTCAATTAATATAGTCTATTTACTTCAATTATTAATAGCCTAGTGTTTGGTTGGAGGCACTTCAAAGACAAAGATTTGCCTTTACCAACTTTTAAGTGCAGAGGGGTCAATTGCACTGGAGTGTTTCAAATGATTCTTTTGTTTAACAAAGAGGCTTAGGGTCATGTACCAGGGTCATTTATCATGTAGCAAGCAATGATAACTATATGAATGACCATATATGATCCACTTTGACAGTCTCATGTTCATGGGTAAAACACTAAACATTTACTAGTAAATGACTTCTCTATCACATGGTCATATTATTGGCCAAGCATAACATGCTATGGATGACCTTGCCCACCTTAAAGCTCACAGAGGCCAAATTTGTTGAATCTTTTACACAACTTCTAAATATCAGATAGGCCTAAAGGGTATGATATTTGACCTGTATACATGTATAGCTAGCTTATACTGGGGTGGATGGTATTGTTTTCTCAAATGAAGGACCTTGTAAGTTACATTTTTCTGAATAATTCAAATTGTTTAAACTCATGTTATTTGTCATGTAGCAAGCTATAGAGGAGGGCAATATTTTTTTTTCAAATGAATGATATTAACCTGGGTTTAGGACCAAGGGTTCAAGGGTGAATCAAATACATGTATGATAAATCCTTTATTCTGAATTACCAAAAAACATAGGATCGTTATATTTAGCCAGCAGCTGCTGGAATAGAAGCATATCAAGTTTGTTCAAAAGATTTACTGTGACCTACTTTTAACTCATTCACCCCTGAAATTTCATAATGAACTATTCCAAGCTTTGAATTGGAAGAGCTCAAATGTGTCTCCAGGGGTGAATGAGTTATGGGCAGGGTAAAATATGTTAAAACCTTTTAAATGACTTCTTCTGTTTAACCAAGAAGCCTAGGGTCATGTAGTTTGTTATGCAGTACAAGTATTGATAACCCTTTAAATGACTTCTTCTGTATAACCAAGAAGCCTAGGGTCATGTAGTTTGTTATGTAGTATTAGCAGGTGTGGAGAACTATCAAGTTTGTATAAATGAATGACCTTGACCAACGTTGGAGGTCACAGGGGTTAATAATGTTTAAAACCTTATAATGTATAACCAAAAGGCCTAGGTATTGGCCAGCAGCATATTATGAGTGACCTTGATCCACTTTCAATGGTGTCAAATGTGTTAAAATCAGTAAAATAAAATTCTTCTGAATAACGAAGATCCCAAGAGTCCTGATATTTAGCCAGCAGCATGCTGAGTTGAGCTATCAAGTTTGTACATGATAAAATATTATCAGTACACACTTTTAATTTTAGGAGGCACAGTAGTCTAGTGGTAGGACACGTACGTCTTGTGACCGAAGGTTCGAGTCACGGCACAGCACTGTGTTGTATCTTTGAGCAAGATACCTACTTTACTCCGCTTGTTCCAGTCTACTCAGCTGTTAAATGAGGACATGGTTGGGCAGTGCTAGAGTTATTGAATACTAGCTGTGAGCGCCAAAATGGCAGCACCGGCTGTATGCTCCCCAGGGAGTTGAGAAAGATATTGGCTGGTTGCAAAGGCCCTATAACCACGGATTATAATTTGTGAACTGCTTTGAGACGAGCTTCGAACTAGGTTGTGATAAAGCGGTATATAAGAACCTCAAACTATTATTATTAATGTTTCAGGTGTAATACATGTACTATATGTATAAGTTTTAACATTCCAGTCATTCATAAAGTGATGGTAAAATTTAGCAGCGCTTTGTTAGCTTGATTTGTGTTTTACAGAAAGATATGACTTCTTAAATTTTACGATTGCTTGTTGATTAATAATGTATGAAAATTACCATAAGGTAGGATGAAATCCTGACTCATTTGGATTTAGGCCACCTGAGCTTTAGCTCAAGTGACCTATTGCTATCCGTCTTCGTCCGTCGTCGTCCGTTAACATTTTACATTTTCAATTTAAGCTGAAATACTAGCAAAGGGATTTCATTAATATTTCATGGGAAGGTTACTGACATCTCCCTGCCATTTTGAAAAACTATTTCAAACTCGAGTCAAGTTCTGCTAGGCCGATGGAACTGAAACTTTGTAGGAATGATCGACTCATGGTCCTGACAAAGTGTTGTTATTTTTTGGGTCGATCAGAAATCCAATATGGCAACCACAGCCGCCATTTTTTGACATGACAATATTTACCTAAAAAAGTGTGCACTATATTTCAAACTTAAAAAAACAAGTTTTAATGCGCCGATTTAACTGAAACTCGGTCTAGGAAGGATCAGCTCATGGTCCTGACAAACTTAAGTTGACGTTATACTTAACTATTTTGTACTCAAATTGGTGCATACTTCAACAACAAAAATAAATACTGTTGGACTCTGGTGACCGTTAAGGCCCATATGGGCCTCTTGTTGAATTTAAGAATATTCATTGAATATGACTACTGCTTTTGCCCACTGAAAGCTATATATAGCATGTGTAATAAGTGTATCTGAAAATGCTTGTTTCTCTTTGTAACTAATGACACTCAATGAAAACCTAAGTATGCTGGTTATTATTTTTTCACAGATATTTGATATTTCCATAGCTTAACTGACAATTTGTGTCTTTTTCATGATAACAGCAGGTGGGACTGGCCTGGTGGGTCATCACTTGAGGAAAATTCTATTAGAACAAGGGCACAAAGTGATCACAGTGTCCAGGAAACCTGGTAGTTCAACACAAACCTGGGTAAGTAGTGCACAACATGACCACTGTATTGTGTAAGCTAGTTTATAAAAGTTTGTCTTACATACTGATAAAACGGTAATGACCTTTTGTAAAAACACTATACATATTAAGTTGATTAAAATTATGTAACGTCCATCATGAATGCCGTTATCTGATAGAACAGGACAGCTTCAATGGTAAATATACATGAGGAATTATCAGTATATCTTCACAAGAATTAGGTGTTAACCCTTTCACCCCTGTGTAACTTTATTAGAATCTACCATGCATTGATCTGGATGAGTCTATTATGGTCTACAGAGGTGAAAGGGTTAAAGTATGATATAAATTCACTAGTGATGATGTTGATAGTGATGTCACATTACTAATGCAAAGTAATTATGACCTCGTATCCAAACTCCTGTCAAAGTGTGACCTCCATACAAAAGTGATGATAAAGTGTGACCTCCATACAAAAGTGATGTTAAAGTGTGACTTCCAAACAAAAGTTACGATAAAGTGTGACATCCAAACAAAAGTGATGATATAGTGTGACCTCCATACAAAAGTGATGATAAAGTGTGACTTCCAAACAAAAGTGATTATAAAGTGTGACTTCCAAACAAAAGGGATGATTAAGTGTGACCTCCAAACAAAAGTGATGATAAAGTGTGACCTCCAAACAAAAGTGATGATAAAGTGTGACCTCCAAACAAAAAGTTAGGATAAAGTGTGACCTCCAAACAAAAGTGATGATAAAGTGTGACCTCCAAACAAAAGTGATGATAAAGTGTTACCTCCATACAAAAGTGATGTTAAAGTGTGACCTCCATACAAAAGTTCTAATAAAGTGTGACCTCCATAGAAAAGTGATGAGAAAGTGTGATCTCCATACAAAAGTTGAGATAAAGTGTGGCCTCCAAACAAAAGTGATGATAAAGTGTGACCTCCATACAAAAGTGATAATAAAGTGTGACCTCCATACAAAAGTTGTGATAAAGTGTGACCTCCATACAAAAGTGATGATAAAGTGTGACCTCCATACAAAAGTTCTAATAAAGTGTGACCTCCATAGAAAAGTGATGAGAAAGTGTGATCCCCATACAAAAGTTGAGATAAAGTGTGGCCTCCAAACAAAAGTGATGATGAAGTGTGACCTCCATACAAAAGTGATGATAAAGCGTGACCTCCAAACAAAAGTGATGATAAAGTGTGACATCCAAACAAAAGTGATGATAAAGGGTGACCTCCAAACAAAAGTGATGATAAAGTTTGACCTCCATACAAAAGTTGTGATAAAGTGTGACCTCCATACAAAAGTGATGATAAAGTGTGACATCCAAACAAAAGTTGAGATAAAGTGTGACCTCCATACAAAAGTGATGATAATGTGTGACCTCCATACAAAAGTGATGATAAAGTGTGACATCCAAACAAAAGTGATGATAAAGAGTGACCTCCAAACAAAAGTGATGATAAAGTGTGACCTCCATACAAAAGTTAGGATAAAGTGTGACCTCCATACAAAAAGGATGATAAAGTGTGACCTCCATACAAAAGTGATGATAAAGTGTGACCTCCATACAAAAGGGATGATAAAGTGTGACCTCCATACAAAAGTTGTGATAAGTTTGACCTCCGTAGAAAAGTGATGAGAAAGTGTGATCTCCATACAAAAGTTGAGATCAAGTGTGGCCTCCAAACAAAAGTGATGATGAAGTGTGACCTCCATACAAAAGTGATGATAAAGTGTGACCTCCATACAAAAGTTGTGATAAAGTGGGACCTCCATACAAAAGTGATGATAAAGTGTGACATCCAAACAAAAGTGATGATAAAGAGTGACCTCCAAACAAAAGTGATGATAAAGTGTGACATCCAAACAAAAGTTAGGATAAAGTGTGACCTCCATACAAAAAGGATGATAAAGTGTGACCTCCATACAAAAGTGATGATAATGTGTGACCTCCATACAAAAGTGATGATAAAGTGTGACATCCAAACAAAAGTGATGATAAAGTGTGACCTCCATACAAAAGGGATGATAAAGAGTGACCTCCATACAAAAGTTGTGATAAGTTTGACCTCCGTAGAAAAGTTAGGATAAAGTGTGACCTTCATTCAAAAGGGATTCCATACAAAAGTCCTGACAATACAGTTGTTTTTTACATGTCACTGGCAGTTTCAAGTAACTTTGGAAAAATGTAATAAACAGATCGTAAATAGAATGGTTTCCTCATGAATACAAGATGTGTTTCACTCCTGTATCACATTTTTTCTGTCCTGGTATGAAAACTCGTATTTGACATGAAAGCCTTGAATATCATCAATGTGATTGCAATTGTTGGGCTGATGGATTATACAATATTGGGGACTTTCGACTAATAATGTATTGTACATGTAAATGAAAAGGAGACCTACGACCAACGCTATGCATCAATATTATAATGTAATGGTAAAGGAGTCTAAGTACAATGTTGTATGTAAATATCCACGTATTGTGCACACTCTTGTGAAACATTGTCAAGATGTTTGTTTCCAGATAATGTTTAAACGGAACAGAAAGCCCGATCAGGTGGGTATTGATGGGTTAAAAAAGGTAGCCTCAGAACAATGTCCTAGAAGTCAGTTTAAAATAAAAGATAAGTATGCATAAAACATCAACCAAGTAATGCTGCAATTATTTGAATAATCAACATTAGAAATTGTTGTGTAATTTCTATTTGTCAGAGTGACCTAGACCGTCATGGTATTCCGGACGACATAACTGCTGTGGTGAACGTGGCTGGGGAAAACATCCTCAACCCATTGAAGAGGTACAAAGTTATAGCAGTCTAGTAATCTGTCAGATAGGCCCTTACAGTGATAACCTTATCAGGAAGTCCAGTTTCTCAACATACATATTAAATGCAATATCATAAACTTATACATGAATACTGTATATTGGGAAATTTTCGCCCAGTCAAACTTTCACCCTTAGCCATAAATCCATAGTTGCCCAGACGAAATTGCCCTTCACATTTAATTACTGTTGTTCATTAATGTTCACTGTAATGATAAATTTGTGACCCTCCTTAATGAGGGCAATAGCGAAAATTAAACTGTGGCAACAATTTCCTGGTATACAGTATCAACACTTCAGAATGTATTACTTACAGCTTGCATAAACTTCCTTAATGAGAGCAATAACGAAAATTAAACTGGCAACAATTTCCTGGTATACTGTTCTATCAACACTTCGGAATATAACACTTACAGCTTGCATTAACTTCAATTAAACGTAAAATGTTGCAAATAGAGGTCAAACATCAAAACTTGTTTTGTCATCAAATATTCAAGCTTCTCTATATCTGACGATGACATGGTGTTACTGTTGCAGGTGGACACCTGATTTTATGGAAAAAGTCAGGTCCAGCAGAATAGAAAGCAACAAAAAGCTTGTCTCCTACATCTCACAGTCCAAAAATCCACCTAAAGTGTTCGCAACAATCTCTGGTGTTGGTAAGTATATCTGGGGCTTTCCGTCAACAGATTCGGTAGTGGGTATGAATATCATGAGTTTCCATTCTACAGACACAAGAGTGGGTTTGTGTTTATCTGGCTTCTCCTCAAGTCTCTTAAGTGAGTTTTGCTGGTTGGGATTTCCAGTATCAAGGTTACTATACTATAAATCTTGATAGATAGTTTTATTTTTGTGTATAGAATGAGGTAGGTATTTTTATTAAAGAAAACAAAAAAAAACCTATAAAATAGTTACGTGGAAACAAAAAATAACAGCAATGAAGGCTCAAGATTATCATTCAATAGAGAAAAAAGATGGTCGTAAAAGTCATAGAAAAAATCTTGGTTGTATTGATCGATACATTATTGGTTGATTAAAATTTCAAAAATCTGTACCAAAGTTGTGTAAACTTGCGTTTGTAAGTTATGTTTCTATCACCGAAGTCATGCTACTTATTTACGATACAAACAACTCTAGCCTCTGTATCCAGTGAATTGACAGGCCTGATCACTAATGCTGATTTTGACCTTAGATATATCATGATCATTTCACAGTGAAAAGCAATGTCCCTTTTAGTAGAAATTCTGGTGCAATTCAGATGATTATTCCAGTGGAAGTATGTGGCATACAGAGCCTACACTAAAAGCACAAGAATTCCAACGGAATATGGACAATACGGCAAATCTTAACGATTTTGATCATTTTAATTACTGAAAAATGTAAGATTCTGATGTGTTGTCCTTGCCCCTTTGGAATTAAAGAAAACATTCCATTGATAAACTTATCCTAGATACATGAAATATATATAGAGTTCTAGGTTTGATTCAATTATTAAATGGTAAAATGTCAAAATATTGTTTATATAAAGCATTATTATATGGAAAATATTAAACAGTAGGAATACATGACTTGATTTTTACTTCATCTGTTTGTTAATTTCTTAGAACCTTGGCCGTTTTCGTTTAAACGGTCAAACCGGTCGGACCATAGTTGTTCGTTTATCAAATAAGTTCGGACCTAGTAATCTGATGCTGCTTTCAGATGAGCCTTGACAAAGCCTTGCAAGGCCTGCATAAACATTTGCAGGTCCGCCAGGATTTATACCCGAAATTGGTACATTTATAAACGGTCAAACCGGTTGTTCCACATAAACGAACAAGCCCTTTGTCTACATGTGTATGTGTTTTGTAAGAACTTGTTATCTTATATCTGAGCAGCAGGCAATATTGGAAAAAAATGTCAAGATGTTGGTCATGCAGTTTAGTGATATTCTATGAAAAATATTGAACACTGGGAGTACATATTATTTTTAACATTTTCACTTTCATGTGTTTGTCAAGTTCTACTCTCTGTCTATATTGTATGTGTTTTGTAATAATGAACTGTTCACTTTCATCTGAGCAGCAGGGTATAAGCCAAGCCCCACTGAGGTTTACACAGAGGACAGCCCAGTTCAAGATTTTGATTTCCTTTCTAAGCTCGTCATTGATTGGGAAGCTGCAGCCAAATTACCTGAAGATGTCAAAACACGACAATTTATAGTGCGATCTGGTAAGGAATCGTCTATACACGTCCCTTGTTGAAGAGGTTTTGGACTAGTCACTAACTGCACTATGTACGAGTCCCTTGTTGATGAGGTTTTGGACTAGTCACTGACTGCACTATGTACGAGTCCCTTGTTGATGAGGTTTTGGATTAATCACTGACTGCACTATGTACGAGTCCCTTGTTGATGAGGTTTTGGACTAGTCACTGACTGCACTATGTACGAGTCCCTTGTTGGTGAGGTTTTGGACTAGTCACTGACTGCACTATGTACAAGTCCCTTTTTGATGAGGTTTTGGACTGGTCACTGACTGCACTATGGACGAGTCCCTTGTTGATGAGGTTTTGGACACTGACTGCACTATGTACGAGTCCCTTGGTGATGAGGTTTTGTACTATTCACTGACTGCACTATGTACGAGTCCCTTGTTGATGAGGGTTTGGACTAGTCACTGACTGCACTATGTACGAGGCCCTTGTTGATGAGGTTTTGGACTAGTCACTGACTGCACTATGTACAAGTCCCTTGTTGATGAGGTTTTGGACTGGTCACTGACTGCACTATGTACGAGTCCCTTGTTGATGAGGTTTTGGACTAGTCACTGACTGCACTATGTACGAGTCTCTTGTTGATGAGGTTTTGGACTAGTCACCGACTGCACTATGTACGAGTCCCTTGTTGGTGAGGTTTTGGACTAGTCACTCACTGCACTATGTACGAGTCCCTTGTTGATGAGGATTTGGACTAGTCACTGACTGCACTATGTACGAGTCTCTTGTTGATGAGGTTTTGGACTAGTCACCGACTGCACTATGTACGAGTCCCTTGTTGATGAGGTTTTGGACTAGTCACCGACTGCACTATGTACGAGTCCCTTGTTGGTGAGGTTTTGGACTAGTCACTAACTGCACTATGTACGAGTCCCTTGTTGATGAGGTTTTGGACTAGTCACTGACTGCACTAGGTCAACATACAAGATAAAATTCTTGTATTAGCCTGTCATTGGGCCACATAAGGACTAGTCACTGACTGCACTATGTACGAGTCCCGTGTTGATGAGGTTTTGGACTAGTCACTGACTGCAGTATGTACGAGTCCTTTGTTGATGAGGTTTTGGACTAGTCACTAACTGCACTATGTACGAGTCCCTTGTTGATGAGGGTTTGGACTAGTCACTGACTGCACTATGTACGAGTCTCTTGTTGATGAGGTTTTGGACTAGTCACCGACTGCACTATGTACGAGTCCCTTGTTGATGAGGGTTTTGACTAGTCACTGACTGCACTATGTACGAGTCCCTTGTTGGTGAGGTTTTGGACTAGTCACTGACTGCACTATGTACGAGTCTCTTGTTGATGAGGTTTTGGACTAGTCACCGACTGCACTATGTACGAGTCCCTTGTTGGTGAGGTTTTGGACTAGTCACTGACTGCACTATGCACGAGTCCCTTGTTGATGAGGTTTTGGACTAGTCACCGACTGCACTATGTACGAGTCCCTTGTTGGTGAGGTTTTGGACTAGTCACTGACTGCACTATGCACGAGTCCCTTGTTGATGAGGTTTTGGACTAGTCACTAACTGCACTATGTACGAGTCCCTTGTTGATGAGGGTTTTGACTAGTCACTGACTGCACTATGTACGAGTCCTTTGTTGATGAGGTTTTGGACTAGTCACTGACTGCACTAGGTCAACATACAAGATAAAATTCTTGTATTAGCCTGTCATTGGGCCACATAAGGGTACTGAATACCGGGAAATTTTTGCCCATTCAAACTTTTGCTCTTCGCCTGTGAAATCAAATTCGCCAAATGTTAATTCGCCTGTCACATTTAATTACTATGTTGATAATGTTGTTGACTAATGCCTGCTGTAAAGGTAACTCGCCCTCATTACAGACCGCAAAAAAGATGTAATTTAAACTGCAACGAAAATTTCCCGTTATACAGTATACATACCAAATTAGTTCTCAACGATATGATGCATGGTCGAAGGGAGATAACTAGTGTGGTAGTACCTGTATACATCTGTTGATAAAAGTTAAAAAATACCATTATGTAACAATTAGGTATAAAGTAGAATATGATCAGATGAGGGTTATCTTTGAACATGGCTCAGTTGTTAAAATTCTGGTTTAAATTAATGATTTTGTTAATATTGGTATGATACTACATATTGGTGAATTATTTTATTCCTTCTCATGGTGTACCAACACATGTGAGCTGATGTGTTTATATTTTTGTTACAGGTGTGGTGCTTGCAGGAGATGGAGGAATGGTCCAACAACTATATCCTAGTTATTTCCTTTGTCAGGGAGGAAAAATAGGAAAGGGAACACAATGGTTGCCATGGATACATGTCCACGATCTGGCAGGAATATTTCATCATGGCATAATAACGGACTCTGTCACTGGTGTGTTAAATGGAGTATCCCCGCACTCTGTCACAAACCAGGAATTCAGTGAAGCCCTAGCCAAGTCCATGTCCCGGCCTGCTCTGCTTCCAGGGTTCTTAAACGAGATTGTCATGAAAACAATGTTTGGACAAGAAAGGGCAAAGATCATTTTGGAAGGGCAAAATGTGTCACCTGCCAGAACGCAGGAGAAGGGATACATATACAAGTATGCAGATATAAACAATGCTTGTAAAGAGGCTGTGGCAAATTTCTCCTGGAGACGAAATTAAGACCGAGTATGGCATCATTGCATTATCTGTGTGTGTTTGAAATACTGTTGAATTTACTTGTGTGGTCATACAATGATTGTGATATATTAAATGTCTGGGAGAGAATATTTTTTTGAATTTCAGTTTTGTCTTTGGATGTTAATGTGTTGACAATGTGAATGAAAGTTTTCTGTTACTCCTTATTGCAATAAACTAATCAGTTTTGCCTACACATGTATTAAACTCATTAAGTTACCTGAGCGTTTTCTCAGGTGACTGATTACAATCATTTTCCCTTCCTCATCTCTAAACTTTTACATTTTGACTTGTTTTTGTGTTTTGGTAAATGGTTCTCTTTCGAAATTTTCTTTCAGTTAATTTTTTGAATAAAATGTTTTCATTTATTATTTTGAAATATCTATTTTTCTGTATATCTTTATTTTAGCATTATATTTGTCTCAAGATTTCACTTAGCTTTTAAGGTCACCTAAGAGAAAGCAGGTGACCTATTGTAATTGCATCCATAAACAATTCACATTTTTGACTTCTTCTTCATAACCACTGAACAGTTTTCAATGCAAGTTTGCAGGAAGGTTCCATGATCAAATGCAAACCAAGATGTGAACTAAAGTGATCTAACCCAACGAGGTCAAATAGTCTAAAGTTTCAACAATCTTCATCTTTGGACTAAGAATATGTTGGAATCAAATACTCTTCATGAATTGAAAAGTCCTCAGGTACTTTATCAAAATTATGAATAATTTGTTGCCCCCAGGTCACTCCCTCCCTCCTGCTGTTTAATAGCAAGAAAAAATGTTGCTGCCAGAAAACATATCTCTTTTGTTACAATTTTTCACAAATTTTGTAACAATCTAACTTTTGAATAAAAAAGTGCAGCACTAAGTCAGAGCTACATCAGTACTGTTGAGTTACATCAGTTATGCAGCCTAAAGTCAGAGCTACATCACTGATGTCAGCCTCCTCTAAGTCGGAGCTGTATCAGTATTGTTGATTTACATCAGTGGTGAGCTACATCATTAAGTCAGAGCTACATCAGTACTGTTGAGTTACATCTTTGGTGCAGCATTAAGTCAGAGCTACATCAGTACTGTTGAGTTACCTGATGTAGCTCTGAAATCATGATGTAGCTCTAACTTAATGCTGCACCACTGATGTAACTCAACAGTACTGATGTAGCTCTGAAATAATGATGCATTAAGTCAGAGCTGTATCAGTACTGTTGAGCTACATCGGTGGTGCAGCATTAAGTCAGAGCTGTATCAGTACTGTTGAGCTACATCATTGGTGGAGCATTAAGTCAGAGCTACATCAGTACTGTTGAGTTACCTGATGTAGCCCTTAAACCATGATGGAGCTCTAACTTAATGCTGCACCACCGATGTAGCCCAACAGTACTGATACACCTCTGACTCAATGCTGCACCACCGATGTAGCTCAGCAGTACTGATACAGCTGTCTTAATGCTGCACCACTGATGACACTCAACAGTACTGATGGAGCTCTGAAATAATGATGCATTAAGTGAGAGCTTTATCAGTACTGTTGAGCTAAGTCAGAGCTGTATCAGTAATGTTGAGCTACATCATTGGTGCAGCATTAAGTCAGAGCTGTATCTGTATTGTTGAGCTACATCAGTGGTAAAGCATTAAGTCAGAGCTGTATCAGTACTGTTGAGCTACATCATTGGTGCAGCATTAAGTCAGAGCTGTATCAGTATTGTTGAGCTACATCAGTGGTGCAGCATTAAGTCAGAGCTGTATCAGTAATGTTGAGCTACATCAGTGGTGCAGCATTAAGTCAGAGGTGTAGCAGTACTGGTGAGCTACATCAGTGGTGCAGCATTAAGTCAGAGCTGTATCAGTATTGTTGAGCTACATCAGTGGTGCAGCATTAAGTCAGAGCTGTATCAGTAATGTTGAGCTACATCAGTGGTGCAGCATTAAGTCAGCTGTATCAGTACTGCTGAGCTACATCATTGGTGCAGCATTAAGTCAGAGCTGTATCAATACTGTTGAGCTACATCATTGGTTCAGCATTAAGTCAGAGCTGTATCAGTACTGTTGAGCTACATCATTAAGTCAGAGCTGTATCAGTACTGTTGCCCTACATCATTAAGTCAGCTGTATCACTACTGTTGAGCTACATCATTGGTGCAGCATTAAGTCAGAGCTGTATCAGTACTGTTGAGCTACATCATTGGTGCAGCATTAATTCAGAGCTGTATCAGTACTGTTGAGCTACATCATTGGTGCAGCATTAAGTCAGAGCTGTTTCAGTACTGTTGAGCTACATCATTAAGTCAAAGCTGTATCAGTACTGTTGAGCTACATCATTAAGTCAGCTGTATCACTACTGTTGAGCTACATCATTGGTGCAGCATTAGGTCAGAGCTGTATCAGTACTGTTGAGCTACATCATTGGTTCAGCATTAAGTCAGAGCTGTATCAGTACTGTTGAGCTACATCATTAAGTCAGAGCTGTATCAATACTGTTGAGCTACATCAGTGGTGCAGCATTAAGTCAGAGCTGTATCAGTACTGTTGAGCTACATCAGGGGTGCAGCATTAAGTCAGAGCTGTATCAGTACTGTTGAGCTACATCAGTGGTGCAGCATTAAGTCAGAGCTGTATCAGTACTGTTGAGCTACATCAGTGGTGCAGCATTAAGTCAGAGCTGTATCAGTACTGTTGAGCTACATCAGTGGTGCAGCATTAAGTCAGAGCTGTATCAGTACTGTTGAGCTACATCAGTGGTGCAGCATTAAGTCAGAGCTGTATCAGTACTGTTGAGCTACATCAGTGGTGCAGCATTAAGTCAGAGCTGTATCAGTACTGTTGAGCTACATCAGTGGTGCAGCATTAAGTCAGAGCTGTATCAGTACTGTTGAGCTACATCAGTGGTGCAGCATTAAGTCAGAGCTGTATCAGTACTGTTGAGCTACATCAGTGGTGCAGCATTAAGTCAGAGCTGTATCAGTACTGTTGAGCTACATCAGTGGTGCAGCATTAAGTCAGAGCTGTATCAGTACTGTTGAGCTACATCAGTGGTGCAGCATTAAGTCAGAGCTGTATCAGTACTGTTGAGCTACATCAGTGGTGCAGCATTAAGTCAGAGCTGTATCAGTACTGTTGAGCTACATCAGTGGTGCAGCATTAAGTCAGAGCTGTATCAGTACTGTTGAGCTACATCAGTGGTGCAGCATTAAGTCAGAGCTGTATCAGTACTGTTGAGCTACATCAGTGGTGCAGCATTAAGTCAGAGCTGTATCAGTACTGTTGAGCTACATCAGTGGTGCAGCATTAAGTCAGAGCTGTATCAGTACTGTTGAGCTACATCAGTGGTGCAGCATTAAGTCAGAGCTGTATCAGTACTGTTGAGCTACATCAGTGGTGCAGCATTAAGTCAGAGCTGTATCAGTACTGTTGAGCTACATCAGTGGTGCAGCATTAAGTCAGAGCTGTATCAGTACTGTTGAGCTACATCAGTGGTGCAGCATTAAGTCAGAGCTGTATCAGTACTGTTGAGCTACATCAGTGGTGCAGCATTAAGTCAGAGCTGTATCAGTACTGTTGAGCTACATCAGTGGTGCAGCATTAAGTCAGAGCTGTATCAGTACTGTTGAGCTACATCAGTGGTGCAGCATTAAGTCAGAGCTGTATCAGTACTGTTGAGCTACATCAGTGGTGCAGCATTAAGTCAGAGCTGTATCAGTACTGTTGAGCTACATCAGTGGTGCAGCATTAAGTCAGAGCTGTATCAGTACTGTTGAGCTACATCAGTGGTGCAGCATTAAGTCAGAGCTGTATCAGTACTGTTGAGCTACATCAGTGGTGCAGCATTAAGTCAGAGCTGTATCAGTACTGTTGAGCTACATCAGTGGTGCAGCATTAAGTCAGAGCTGTATCAGTACTGTTGAGCTACATCAGTGGTGCAGCATTAAGTCAGAGCTGTATCAGTACTGTTGAGCTACATCAGTGGTGCAGCATTAAGTCAGAGCTGTATCAGTACTGTTGAGCTACATCAGTGGTGCAGCATTAAGTCAGAGCTGTATCAGTACTGTTGAGCTACATCAGTGGTGCAGCATTAAGTCAGAGCTGTATCAGTACTGTTGAGCTACATCAGTGGTGCAGCATTAAGTCAGAGCTGTATCAGTACTGTTGAGCTACATCAGTGGTGCAGCATTAAGTCAGAGCTGTATCAGTACTGTTGAGCTACATCAGTGGTGCAGCATTAAGTCAGAGCTGTATCAGTACTGTTGAGCTACATCAGTGGTGCAGCATTAAGTCAGAGCTGTATCAGTACTGTTGAGCTACATCAGTGGTGCAGCATTAAGTCAGAGCTGTATCAGTACTGTTGAGCTACATCAGTGGTGCAGCATTAAGTCAGAGCTGTATCAGTACTGTTGAGCTACATCAGTGGTGCAGCATTAAGTCAGAGCTGTATCAGTACTGTTGAGCTACATCAGTGGTGCAGCATTAAGTCAGAGCTGTATCAGTACTGTTGAGCTACATCAGTGGTGCAGCATTAAGTCAGAGCTGTATCAGTACTGTTGAGCTACATCAGTGGTGCAGCATTAAGTCAGAGCTGTATCAGTACTGTTGAGCTACATCAGTGGTGCAGCATTAAGTCAGAGCTGTATCAGTACTGTTGAGCTACATCAGTGGTGCAGCATTAAGTCAGAGCTGTATCAGTACTGTTGAGCTACATCAGTGGTGCAGCATTAAGTCAGAGCTGTATCAGTACTGTTGAGCTACATCAGTGGTGCAGCATTAAGTCAGAGCTGTATCAGTACTGTTGAGCTACATCAGTGGTGCAGCATTAAGTCAGAGCTGTATCAGTACTGTTGAGCTACATCAGTGGTGCAGCATTAAGTCAGAGCTGTATCAGTACTGTTGAGCTACATCAGTGGTGCAGCATTAAGTCAGAGCTGTATCAGTACTGTTGAGCTACATCAGTGGTGCAGCATTAAGTCAGAGCTGTATCAGTACTGTTGAGCTACATCAGTGGTGCAGCATTAAGTCAGAGCTGTATCAGTACTGTTGAGCTACATCAGTGGTGCAGCATTAAGTCAGAGCTGTATCAGTACTGTTGAGCTACATCATTGGTGCAGCATTAAGTCAGAGCTGTATCGGTACTGTTGAGCTACATCATTGGTTAAGTATAACAACAACACCTTGGACTGCTTTGTTCTGTTTAATCAATTACAGCCGAGATGAATGTAACAAAAAAGATGAAATCAATAACAATGTGAGATACAAGACATGTAATGATAAATAGAATGGATTTGTTTACAGTTGAGTAGATATACATAGATTTTACCTATATTCAAGTAGGCCTGGTGTGTGAACATTTTAGTTCTGAAGCTTGTTGTGTTTACAAGTTAACATATTTTTTTTTAAATATTTATTTTTGAAAACATACAAGAAGGGTACCAATATACATGTATAAAACATCTAGAACTCTTGTATCTCTGAAATATAAATGTTCACTGCACCTTTCCATTTTTTCTTTTTTTTTTAAAACGTTAACAGTTCTTTTCAATTCTAAATTGGAAATTGCTTAATCATCATGATTCATCCAGACACAGCAAGAATTTAGCACCACCAAACAATCACTATAATTCATAAGCTGTATCTTGATGAAAAATACAAAAGCGTGTGTTTAATTCAAATAAATTTGTCATGATGCATCATTAAATCCTAAAAAAGAACCATGGACTTTTAATTGTACATAGGAATCATGTTATTTATCAAGTAGCTGACGTACTGGTGAAGCCACGAGTAGCCGACGTACTGGTGAAGCCACGAGTAACCGACGTACTGGTGAAGCCAAGAGTAGCCGACGAACTGGTGAAGCCACGAGTAGCTGACGTACTGGTGAAGCCACGAGTAACCGACGTACTGGTGAAGCCATGAGTAACCGACGTACTGGTGAAGCGACGAGTAGCCAACGTACTGGTGAAGCCACGAGTAACCGACGTACTGGTGAAGCCACGAGTAGCCACGTACTGGTGAAGCCACGAGTAACAGACGTACTGGTGAAGCCACGAGTAGCCGACGTACTGGTGAAGCCACGAGTAGCCGACGAACTGGTGAAGCCACGAGTAGCTGACGTACTGGTGAAGCCACGAGTAACCGACGTACTGGTGAAGCCACGAGTACTTCACGTACTGGTGTAGCCGACATACTGGTGTAGCTGACGTACTGGTGAAGCCATGGAAGCCACACAACCTGCACTGTCAATAATATACCCACATCCCTAGAAGACTGCTTATATATTTAACCTGGAACAGTCTCTGTAGTCACTGGTAACATGTCTAATCCATTTTAACCCAAACAAATCTATAATTATAACCTCAAGGAGTTTAATTGATTATATATTACAATCCCATTATTGTGTTGAACTTTCATTATTACTACTGTCTACTTCAAGAGTTATCTACATACAGAAGCAGGACGCAGAGATAATTCTCCCCTAGTTTCATACTGTTTAACACTTTCAAATTATGCATCACAAGGACACACTTAAAGATTTTTGTTTCATGCATATGCACTATTTGAATTTTCAAATGAATGAGCAAAATATTGAAAGCCTTTATGTTAATTCATACTCAATTAAACATGGACAAAAACTAGCCCTGACAACATTGTTACACGCTCCTTCAGTACACTTAGCACTTCTGTCTTACATACATCAACATCATGTAATGGTCCTAGGTATGCATTGGTTGTTGACCAACTAAGCATCAATAATAAAGCGATAGGGATGACTTATTTCCGCAGCATTGATGCATCCTAGTCAAGGGTTCCTAATCAATCTTAACCATTTAATCATACATCAGATTCACCGTACAACTTTATTCTGCAAACATACACTTCAAGTCTTGTAAACTGCCTTTTATACATAAACAAAAATTCCATTTACTTAATTCCCATGGGATTTGATAGCCTCAAATTTTCAGCAATATGAATTTCAATTTTGCTTGTGTAGACAAGTCTTTGATAAACCACAGTGAATTCTTAATGCCTGTTTTGTCTGACGCCTTATGTACTGCTATATTTTAAGGTCACCTTTTCCTTTTTCCTCACATTTCCCCTAAAGTATAGCAAAACCCTTTAGAATGCCAAAACTTCACCAGAACAAAAGTTGGAGAAATAATGGGGTTTTGCTGGACTTGGTTTAAAATTTTATTTAACACCAAAATTTAACACATATTTGACCATATCACGACAATGCATTTATATAGTTACCGCAAATTCTGCAAACCTGAATCGTCCATCACAATGAAAACACAATTATGCAGATGATCATGATCAACACAAATGCATAGAATCATACATTGTTCATTAGAAATCATAAATGACAGAAGATCAAAATTATCACGTACATAGAAGTTGTCGAGTTTTATGACTTGTGCTACAGGTTTAGATGACAATAGGATAAGACGGTTGAATTTTAACCTTTGATACCTGACCTGGTCAGATCTTAGTTGTTGTAGATTTCTTTACACACTAGTACTACTGTGGACATCTCTATGAATGTAGATATCTTCACTATAAAATGTTAACTAGCTAATTTCGTCCAAAATTTTGCATTAAAATTCAGCATTGAAATTGTGATTCTCGTATTCGTACATTTAATAGTTCTGAAAAGTACCGGTAAATCATTAAACTCGTTCTCGAGATGAACATATACTGCTCAGTCAATCGTGGTATTCTTCAACTATTTTATAGACATGCAATTCATTCAAAGGTCTAAGAAAAGTTTAGTCATCCTACGGCTATACACTGTACCCTGCCACTCTATGTGTTCCCTAACGTAATAAATACATATAGATGTATACATGTACTCTTTGGAACACTTCATATACTTGATTTCATGCAGAAATTCATACGTCCATGAACATTTTATTTAAAATTTGTATTCACTGTACCTAAACTCATGTTTCCTGTGTGTGTTGACCATTTAGAAAACCCCAAGCTTTTACAGACAAAGATCCACAATATTTCAAGTAGTTTTTCAGTAACAAACACTCTTTTGCCATTGATATTTCAGATTTAGCCTCTTTAGGTTTTTAACCTTTAATATGGTATGTAAAACAAAACAAACTTCTAACGTCCTAAGGACACAAATATTTAATGTGCATCAAGGTGAGCACCACACAGCCAAATGTTCACATGGTTCTAGGTACCAAGTCTATCTAATGACCTCTAAACACATGACCTCTAAACACATGACCTCTGGAAATTGAAACCCATTATTTCCAGCTGTAACCAGTCACCTCTTAAATCACCCATTTGTACATGTCCTGCCATTTACTTACAGGTTAATTAACATAAATCCACATTTTGCACATTTTTTGTTTGTATTTTATAGCAAAGTGTCAAATGTTACTGAAACAAATACAGTTGAACTTTGTATAATATTAACTCAATCAGATATCCTGTCTAACCCAACTGATCTTTAAAAATTTAAGTTTAATAGCTTTATTGCTAGTTTTGCTTCAGACATGTATACTGTAAATGTGATAATTGTTCTCTCTCCTTAGTAGTTAATTTTACACATTGGAGAAAATTTCTGTGGAAACATATGAGCATCACAATCTATGTTCACAGTATGTGCATGTACATTGCATCAGCTTTTGTGCTATTAAATAGACCTACATATGTTCAAGTTAAATACATAATCATGATCATGATTCAATGATTTGCATTTGACCAGAAAATTTGATATTGAGCATTGTTTTCAACAGGTGAATTGATTGTTCAAAATACTGAAACTGCACTCTTTTTTTGCCGATCGTGATAACTGTTATTAAATGGTTCGACTACATTTTCCCCCTTGATTCAAATTACCAGTAGCTATCCATAGCCAGTACAAATTTTGACGGACTTAAATAATGATATTACATGATCAGTGTGGTGTAAGACATGTAACAATGACTACATTTACATATTTGTCGCACACAATAAATATATTACATTTGTGTACCGAGAAAGAAACCCTCGACTGTTTATATTACCTATGTACTCTCGTGTTCAGTGTCGCCTCACAATCCAAATGTTTACAATTATAATATGAGATACATTTGGTGAACAAAACAAAGAACTATTCTTCACTGTGATCAGGACTGGACAAAGCAAGATCAAAGATGAAAGTATCACTTTATAGCACTAGGTAAAATAATTAGTCTTCATCACTATTCCTCTCTTGTACGTCACGATCAGACCCGAATACTGAACAGGTAGCTCCCCAATACATCCAGGACAGTGAGCAGCTGTAGGGTTCACCCGTTACATTTTCTTATTTAACCCTTTCACCACTGTAGACCATAATGGACTCGTCCATATAAATGTATGGTAGAGTCTACTAAAGTTACCTAGGGGTGAAAGGGTTAACAATGATACACATAGAGTAGTTCAATATATATATCTAAAATCAGGATTCATCCAGAATTGTACGTCTTTACATTACCATGTAAAAAATTGTTCCCATCATATTTTTTGTATCCGTCATTTACTATAAAGGTACAACCAATCAAAGAACATAAAGCATTTCTTCAGGTGAAAGACTTCAGGAAGACATTTATTTTTCTTTAAGACTTGTAACATCTAACTAAATACTGTATTTTTCTTTGGAAAAAATAATGCATTTTATATTAACTGACAATAAAACGAATCCCATGTGTATGTTGGAGGTAAATGGTCCTACTCGTGGTCTGATCACTGTATACTTCTCACAGCCTTTCATTCAACACCCTTTCTCTCTGGAACAGGACCAAAATACACCACAGATGGCTCCTAGCACATTTATAAATATCAAAAATTGGTACATTGCTAAATACATCTCCTTCTCTGCCATATCTCCTCCGTAAACAACATTCTTGTTGTCTTCAATAAAACATTGCAAATCGTGTTTATGCGCGGATCCCTGGGAATGACTAGCAACACTGAAGGTTTTATAAGACTTCTGTGTCTCATATCCACAACGGGCCGTGAAGGAATGTGACCAAGGCAGAGCCCGCCTGCAAGAAGGTCACATGACTGAAGAAATTGTTGCCTAGACCAACTGTGAGTGTTAGGCCAACTTGATACCTCCTGTGGACCGGAGTCGGAGAATGTCCAAGAGTGAATTTCCTCTCTTGTGAATTCCAATTTGCACACTTTTGTTGTTTATCAATAATCCTGTAGTTTATTTGGCAGCTGGTACACTGTCGAGCTGGCATCATTCCCATAGAAGTTTGGGAAAGGAATTCATTTCACCTGTGTCTGCTATGGCATTGCCATTTTGAACATAGGAAACTTTAATTCTCATTCTAATGGGTTGCTGAAATAGAAAGACAATAATTACTAATTTTAATTAAATGACAAGGACACAAGTTCTTCAGTCATTTACAAACTTAAAATCACAAAATTCTGTGGAATACAGAATGTCTTAATTTCTAGCTAACTTGAGGTTTCTTTGTTTAGTGCCTAAATCTTTTCAGTCTGATAAAAGAGTTTGTTACCCCTTGTACCTACAACTATTCAATGAGCTAGAACATTTCTTCACCTTTAGTTTTTACATCAAGTTTAAAAGCTAATTGAAAGATTTCCTAAAGTTACTACATCTAGTCATGTAGGTGGAGGACTTCCTTACCTTTAGTTCCTACAATACCTTAGCTAGTTAGAAGATCTCAAGTTAGGCAGATCAAGAATTTTAATACCTTTAGTTTCTACATCATGACCGCTAGAATATTATTATTTCTTTTACCTCTTACTTCTTTTAGCTAGATTGAAGACTTCCTTACCATTAGCACATATATTGAGTCTGCTAGATTGAAGACTTCCTTACCTGTAGAACATATATTGAGTCTGCTAGATTGAAGACTTCCTTACCTTTTGTGGATTGTTAAGTTTGATGACTTGTGTAACGGCACCATCATTCATGGGAGGAATAACATTCGAAGAGGGGGACAGTAATTGTAATTGGAATGACTGCAACAAAAACACAACACACATTACATAATTTATCATTAGTCCCCAAAAATCAAAATGACATAAGAATTAACATAAATGTAAATGATGCAAGGGTTTTTGACTTCAACTTGAGATTAGGCAAGTCAAAATGATGTCTCATCTGTCTATCATCACAGTAGCCAAAGACGGGCAGAAATGAGACAAGAGGCCCATGGGCCTTAACGGTCACCTGATATATTTATACAGAGAGTTGATTTTGTTTTTAACATGAACAGAAATATTATTCAAAGTGACAAAAAAACAATAAAACCACCTTATTCAATATCTAGCATACAGATTTCAGACTAAAAAGGATTTGAAACTAGCACCTCTGATTCTAAACAAGGAAAATGAAGAAATTTTAGCACACTGACTCCTTTGAGCCCCACCCTACAGCCCTTGGGGGTAGGGCTGGCTCAAAATTTTCAAAGTATCAAACTGTCAATTCAAGGTTATAATTCCAATCAAGTTATTAACATGTAATATTCAAAG